GAAAATGGAAGTACGCAGCATAAATGCTATTTATTTCTATTATCATTCTTATCATTATTGTTATTATTCTTTCGTTCCCTTTATTACTTAATTATCTTATTCAAATACAAGTGCTTTTGTTGCCTGCATCGAATAAATTCAGATTATTTAGGAGGCGGCTTCGACTCTGCCTGCCAGGGCCAACCCGGACAGAGAACAATACAATAGAGTTACCTGATGAAATCGAAGGCTTTATATAATTATAGATACTCGAAAAAAAATTCTCACCCCACTCGGGATTCGAACTCGCCTAGAAAAGAAAGAAAGAAAGAAAGAAAGAAAGAAAAGAAAGAAGGAAAGAAAGAAAGATAGAAGGAAAGAAAGAAAGAAAGAAAGAAAGAAAGAAAGAAAGAAAGAAGGAAAGAAAGAAAGAAAGAAAGAAAGAAAGGAAAGAAAGAAAGAAAAAAAGAAAGATTATCTATTTCTCTCATATCTCTCCGACATGTGGCACGGAGAGCAGTGGATGGACAAGGCCTACAAAGAATACAAGAAAAAAAGAAAGAAAGAATGGATAAAAGAAGAAAAGAAGAAAAAAAGAAAGAAAGAAAAAAAGATGATCTCTTCCTCTGGCGACTCACCTAGGGGCGGCCTGACGAGCAATGGATGGACAAGGCCTACAAAGAATACAAGAAAGAAAGAAAGAAAGAAAAGAAAGAAAGAAAGAACAAAAGAAAAAAATAGAAAAAGAAAGAATAAAAGGGGAAAAAAAGGGGGGGGGGAGAAAGAAAGAAAGATGATCTCTTCCTCTGTCGACTCACCTAGGGGCGGCCTGGCGTAAGGGATGCCATAGAACACATCCACCTTCTTGCCGTGCACGTAATGAGAGCGGCCCTGCACCAGCCCTTTGTCCGTCTTTACGATGACTCGGTGGCCGTGCGAGGACTTGGTCGCTATGGCGACGGGCCACGCCACCAGCAGCAGGAGGGTGCTGAGATCCATGGTCAATCAGGGGCAAGTGGTACGGTCTGATGTCACTGCATCTCAGGCTGTGGAGAGCGAGTGGGTTTTATGTGTCGACCCTTGAAAGTGAAAATGGCTTAAGTGCCAAAAACAAAAATACAAATCAGACATAAACATAATATGGCTGAATTATAGAGCTTAATGTCACCTTTCAAAGCAATTTTGTCTTAACTCACTCCTCTCAAACGTGTTCAAGAATTATAGGAAAACCACATTGTGTCTAATCTCAATACTAAAATTTGTTCAAAATTTTCATTCGCGATTTTTTCCAAACATCAGTCTTGGCACTTAAGACAGTTTTGCTTTCATGGGTCGGTATGTAGGTGTTTTACGCCCCCACCACCTCTC